AAAATGAAGAAGCCGCGGTCGAACGTGCGTTGTCGTCCGACCTTGCTGTCTTGACGCGAGACGGCCTCGATAGGAATCCTATTAGTATTCATCTATTCCCTTCTTTAAATCATGTAGCCTACATGTACTGTACCACCCACCATCGGTGGTATCGTATATTGGAGCAATATCCACCTAAAACCAGATAGCGTGAATCTTGACCCAGACGGCTTGGAACGACATTCACCAGTTCTTTTTATGCTTTACCGTAGTATATTAGGTATTCCGTCCTTTCAGCCTATCACTTGCAAGCCACTATACTTTTAATAATTGCAAATGTAGCACCCTAATATTTTATAGAGGATCGTCGACGGTTTTCGATCGCCCCTAAAACTCTGGATATGAATATCCAGAAAATATTTATGTTTATTTGGAAAACATAATATTACATTCTAGTAAGAGAATCATTCTAAATTATTTTTCCAGTTTTTTTTTAATAATTCTAAATACAATAGTTAAACATAAAATTATTAGCTCAATGTATTCTGACATTTTTTAATTGACTCAGTATATTGTTGCGGTAATTTATCAACCAATCATCGTCGATAAAAATCAGAAGAACAGATCTGTACGCGTTTGAGGCAGACGCAAAAATTATTGGGGGATGTGGTACGAGTTGAGCAACAGGATTATTGCGGAGGAAATTGAAGATGCCAAGAAAAAGGGGTGTAGAGGTTAAGATATACCTCAGCAAAGTCATGCTCGATCATGCAGTTGATACGTTGGTGGATCTACTTGATGCTGATGTTGAGGTAGAAGTAGCTGACGAAGGGAGTAAATTACACGCAAAGTTTGCTTTGCTGGATGACACAGTAATGCTTGGATCCGCCAATATGTCTTTGGATGCCTTTTACAACAACATCAAAGATATGCTACTGATATACAGCCTGCAAGAACATAAGTTTATGGGTTATTTTATTTTATGACTCTTTTCCGTTATAACTTTGCAATTATTTTCATATTTCTCCTTAGGATACGAAGCAATATTTAAGCGGAGATGGAGAGGTGCTCAGTGGTTAAGCAATATTTAAGCGGAGATGGAGAGGTGCTCAGTGTTTCAGAGATAACTGGACGAAACTTCAGCACCCAAGGCGGACTTCTCCTTACTACTACAACAAAGTAGTGAAGCGTCCACTCGCCACCAATGAGCTACGTGCAATTCTCGATCAACCCCATACACCCCATACACCGGACCTACCTCCAGCGAAGTGACCAAATGAGCGGTGTAACAGGGTAGTTGTCGTCGTCCTCGGGCGATCACACACAAGGGGTAAATACGTAAGGATTGCGCTTTTCAGCTAGAATAAGACCGGCTTCGGTATTGGAGGCGTTTATCAAGCAGCCATCAACTCAGCACTACGGAGCAGTGGGCAGGGCGGGCCCCCACTTGAATAGTCAACCCGTTGCATGTTAATGTATACCTTATCCAACCCGGTCGAACTCCCACTCGGAGACTGCTGCAATGGCAGTGCCATTACGTCGAGCGCCAGCATGAGTTTGCACGCTTCTTTGTTGCCCCCCCCCCCCCAAGCTCAGAGCATGGAGAACCCAAGGTTCACAGGCTGTCCATGTAGCGTGTTGTGTCGTGACTAGCTGGGTTAGTGAAATCATGACTTTTCCTGGGTATGTGTATTGATCTTTTCCTGCTCGTCGCTCACAAGCCACAGCTTGTTAGGGGTTTAATGGGTATATCTTTATATTGGTGGTTACTGGGATCACAAATTTTTGCGTATCAAATGCGAAAGAAAAACTACATGATTCATAAAAGTTCTGCACACACTAAGCTGAGCCACACGGTTTTCCTCGCTGGTCCAGAAGAAATCCTAGTTTCTTTATCATCTATAGAAGGATATAGAATTTGACACAGGTTTTTCGTCGTAGACATCTCAAGTAGTGATTTGATATTTACCGTAAAGTCCGGATTCAGTAAGACAAATGTTCTC